GCGTGCAATATCACTGCAATGTTGCATGCTGAGCATGATTTCTTACGCTGCGCACAATTATAATAGCCTGCATTTAATATTGCGCCTATTTTGTTATTGACCATGTGACGTCACAATGCTTATCAGTTAGTATTTTGCCTTGAAGTCAACTTCAAGTAAAATGCTAAGATATGATCTGAATAAGGGTCAACTTAGCCAAGTAAAATTCTAATTAAAATACTAACTTAATTTGCTTACTGAATTGAATACGGCCGCAGTATATCATGTAAAATGCTTTGTGGGTATTGTGTTAAAACACCAATCTACACTGTATACTCAAATCTAGAATCATCTTTCATTTTGACTTGTCAAATTTTGCTGTAAGATTATTTAAGACAATGATGGATAGATAAATTGATCTTTTCAATCCTTTAAATTTCACTGTAGTTAGATTTTGTATACATAATAATAATGATATTGGCTTTCTTTCAGGGTATATCAGTTATATTGCATTCATGATGCTGGATGAATATTGCACTTGTCTTCGACTCGTGCAATATTGGCAAGCTAAATGTAATATATCTGATATACCACTTAACCCTTACTGTACTGGGCTATTTTGAGCACCCTCTGACTGGGGGGGGGGGGGGGGCCTGGGAGGCCCCCCCCCCCTATGATCTCGGTCGTCGAATGTCCGATGAACACGAAATTTTGCATATTTTTAGATATTTACGTAAGGAACAAGATGGTATAATTAGTTTTTTCCTAATATGCAAATTTTTGTCGTTATAGCCTAATAAATTATGCAAAATGCTAATTTTATGCATTTTACAGAAAACTCTACATATTTGTCCATAGACTTGTGAAGAATCTTGAAAATGTATTGAATAAATGTTTCCTCCATCTCAAATTCATGAGGTTTCATTATTTTTATGATATTTGAAAATGCATAGGTTAATTTGCATAAATTATGAATATGCAAATTACGCATTCATGAATATCAAATCTGGAACTATATTTAGGGAACTAGAATCATTACAAAAATTGTCAGACTCCACTTTTTGAATTTTGAAACTCATTATTCATATGAAACTTCTTTTCTAACACAAAATAGTTATTTGATGTAATTAATAATGATAATTTATGCAAATTTTATGCGATTTTCAACTAATTATTTTCTTATGTATTTTATTGTTTTTTTATTTCTTATTATATCTATTGTTTTATTTCTAATGTATTCTTTTGTCCTAGAATACATCAAGTTACTCTGAGAAACATATAAAAGCAATTTGATATCAATTCATATCTTCACATTTCTGCTTGTACATGAATATATGCAATTATAGCACTTTTTTGATGACATGCGCATACTAATTGTTATGTAACACCTTACAGGTATATCCGATTCTGACGAAAATGGTATCAAAATGTGCGCAAGACTTGAGGGAAAAAAGTCATGAAACGACAATTCGAAATTCCAAGCGGTTGCGGTGCGATCTCCGAAAATGTCGAGGGGGGGCCTCCCAGGCCCCCCCCCCCCCCCCCCCAGTACAGTAAGGGTTAAGGGCAGCCAGTATCATATAAATGTCTCTGATAACAATATACATGTTAAATTATGTTGTTGAAAAGTTGAGGAAAAAATCACAAGTTTTGATCGGAAAAGAATGATTCTGAATCTCTCAACATGTCGCCAATTTAAGGTTGTTTTCTTTTTTTAAATTCTTGACATCAAATGCAGTATACGGTAGTGATGAAAGAATTATGTATATGCAATGTGTGCAGAAATTTTTCCCCTTTTCTACTCATGCATCTGGTATATTTTTTAGGGCTCTGAATCGAAGGTTATTGAGCCAAACCACAAAATATGGAATGGTTGTCTCGAAAGAATTAAAGCCAGTTCAAGATTTATTTGTTGTATACATGCACTTCACTCGTAGCATCATTGATATCATAGAGATGTACCAGTACATGGTTTTAATTTATATTGAGTTTAGTATAAAGATTTCTGTCATGTACATCCAACCCTTGCAGGCGGCTGAGTGTTACCTGAGGGTCTCCAATTCCTGGGCAACAAGAGCAGCTATGTTGAATTGAGGGATTCCATCACGTGGGACCTGTGCTCGACTTATTTCAACATGGCGTGTCAGATGCAGGATCGACCTCCGGTATCCACCTCCAATCTTGCAGAGGTAATGTGGAGGAGTTGAGCTGCGTTCACATATGGCTTGGTTTATAGCCATGGTTTACCATTGCAATTTTTATGCCTCCGCTACAAAGTAGCCGGAGGCATTATGTTTTCTTGTTGTCCATACGTACGTCTGTACGTCCCGTTCTCGTTATACGTACATGAAACAAGCGCAGGCTGCATGTTGAAAGTAAAAACAGAATAACTAAAGTCATTTGGCAATTTTTATGCCTCCCCCTTGAAGTAGCTGGAATCATCATGTTTTTGGGTTGTCCATCCGTCGGTACGTCCCGTTCTCGGATCGCTGTATCTCAAGAACCGATTGATGGATTCCTGCCAAACTTTAGCCATGTATGTATCTTGCAGAGCCAATGAACTGATTAGATTTGGGGGTCATGAGGCCAAAGGTTAAAGGTCACAGGGCTCATTTTGTATTAAAAAATAGCTTGTGATCGCTTAATCTCAAGAACCGATTGATGGATTCCTGCCAAAGTTGAGCCATGTATGTATCTTGCAGAGCCAATGAACTGATTAGATTTTAGGGCCATAAGGTCATGGAGCTCATTATGTATGCCTATAAATAGCTTGTGAACGCATTATCATTAAAACCGACAGATGGATTACAATCAAAGTTGAATTTTAAAAATTGCTTCCATTTTTGTTTGTAAAATTGCTCTATGGCGGTTCCATCTAGTTCCATCTAGTTTTTCAGCGCAGTAGAGTATATGTAAATTGATCTACCGGTAATCATTATTATTTTTTAAGCAAAGAGCTCTGCACATTTTTGTGTCTCAAACATGCAGATAAAGGAGTAGCCTTTGATGCATACAAACGCTCTTTTTGTTTAAGTTTGAAAAAATAAATGTAGCGGATTACAATGTCTATGTGAGCGAGACTTTATTAGTTAGAAAAGGGAGACTGCTGGTTTCATTGGAAGCTACGTTAGAAATGCTCTTAACTTACATAATTTCTGTGGTTATGAAAGTATATTATATTTTGCTCTAAATGTTCCTTGTAATATATGACTTGGTTAACAGATTGCTGTTATCCATTGGAGTTTAGTTCTTCCATCTTTGATAGCTTAATTTTGCGACAACATTTTTAAAAACATGAGAATAAGAAAAGCAAAGAAAAAATGTTGTTAATTCTAAGTACTTACCATTATGACACTCTTAAAATTCATAACTTCACATCCCACATCCCCCACACTCTAGTGAAGTCCCTGGCTACATGATTTGAGTCTTGTCACATACAAGCAATGATGGTTATAGTAATTGACATTATTTCCTACTTTTTATTTTAGATCGAGATGGATGTGTTGAAATTCATGAGCAATGCATGGGCTCTTTGTGACACCAAGGAGACATCCAGCAGACAGCGTCTCTATCAGGATATAGCAGTTACTATCCATCTTCGACTGGCATTAATGAATCACAACTCAATGAGAAAACAGGTTAGTTGAGATGGTCCTTTCTTCTTTGTTTTTGCTATTTCTTTTTTCTTAAATTCATGTATATTGTAACTTTTTATCTGTGACAGTAATGAATGTTGACAGGACAACGACCTTTGCTACTCCCTTGCATCCACTTCAGCACAGTGTATGCATCTTTTGTCATTACATCATTTATCTATTTTAGTACAAAGTTGTTCTTAAAATGTTCATATCTGCATAATTTTTATTTTTTAAGACATGTGAAATAAATGAATTTGAATAATTTGAATTCAAGAGTGCAGCGAGGCTATTATCGCATAGTAATTTTGAGTGGGGTATGTATACCTGCCAACCCTTCCAAATAATTAAGTAATATTGACTGGCCTTCAGGGCAATACAACATATATATGAATTAGGCAGTCAATATTACTATTATTAACCACATCAGACATCTAGAGCAAACAAGAAACTCTTACTTTCTTATGCTCTTAAATTATGTTAAACACAGTTAACCTACACTGCACAGGGTTTCCTAGCATGAAAAGTTGCAAAAACATCGTCAAACCAGCACTGTGCATCCAGTGCTTGACAAATTTTTTGATACACTACAAACAGTGTGCCCTAGGTGTGATTATTACGTCACAATAGAGTGCGCGCAAAGTGCGCATTTTCTCATACGCGTAATAGATGCGCAATGAAAATTACAATTGGCTCTACAGTATTGCCCACTAGTTTAACACACATTTTGCCATTGACTTTTGAGATCGGGCAATAATATTTGTTAATTGGTTTACTGTATAATATTATTGACCGGCAAATTAAACACAAAATCCCGTTGACTTTTCTGAGCGGGGTCAATAATATTTTTTATCGCCTGTAGTTTTGTTGGCTTATCCATTAAACCTTGAGGGCAATAACATTTAAAAATTGCCCTGCTCAGATGTCTCATATGGTTAATAATCCGGAATATTCTGATATTCTGGATTTTTAGGACCTACAAATTCAGAATATTCTGATTTTTCAAAATTTCAATTCCCAGAGTCTTCATAATTTCTGCTTTGATTACATTGAAGAAATGTGCAAGTTTTGTTAATGTTTCTATGTAACAACATACCTTCAATTTTCAGGGCCAACTATAACAATGTTGAAAGAATAAATGGTGTAAATGCAAACCTTGCTCAAATCTATCATCACCATGCAAGCCTTCAGGATTATATATATATATTTTCTTTTCCTTTTCATTTAAGTTACATTCCAAATATGTTTCAACTGTTTGAGTTCTTTGCTCACAATCCTTATGTACAGATGGTTCTACACAAGACTCCACTTTTGTTTTTTAGACAATGATGTTACTTTGTCTCTCTGTATCTCTCTCTCTCTCTCTCTCTCTCTCATTCCTTCAACATGAAGAACACTAAAAATGTTGCTAAGCTCTACTACAACAAGGCTATTAAACTCTTCGAGGAAATGGATAGCCCTGGGGAACTACTTAGAAAAGAGCTGGAGAGAGTGGCATTGCTACTAGAACATCAGGTTGAAAGTAAGAGTCTCTTCTTTTAGTTAACAGTTTTGTTTAAAAAAATAAAAAAGCATATATATATATTCCCAACTTTTGAACATTCATGATTACTTTTTGATGCCTCTGCAATGAAGTAGCCGAAAGCATTATGTTTTCAGGCTGTCCGTCTGTACGTCCGTCCAACTGTTATAAAAAAATTGTAGTTGTTACAAAAGTACGAAAACCCCTTCTATTATTACAAATTTCCAAAAGTGTGTGTGTGTGTGCCATTTTCAACGGCAAAATGCTCATTCTGTCCTGTAAAGTATCCTACAAGCATCTCACATGGGTAATTTTGGGATGTTCATTGGTTCATCGAACACACCAGTCGTGACAAAATCATGCATATTAAACCAATGATCCATAAAAAATTCTTCCTGTATGTAGGAACTGTAAGAGGCATCGATCCATGTTTGTTTTTTTGTAATACAATTTTTGTCAGTAAAATACAACTTTTTTGATTAAAGAATACAGTTTTTGAACTCCAGAGGTTAGCAGGTCTGACATAGATGTGCGATTTGCGCACATGATATTCAGTTTTACTTAAATGTTACTAATTGAAAATTGCAAATGTTTGCAGCAGCTATGTGTATGTCCCGTTCGCGTGATCACGTTATCTCGAGAACCGATAAATGGATTACCATCATACTCAGGACACGTAATGTATCTTGCAGAGCCAATGAACTGTTCAGATTTTGGGGTAACAAGGTCAAATGTCAAAGGTCACAGGGCTTATTATGTATGCAAAAAGAGCTCGCTTCTGTTTTGGTTTGTAAAATTGCTCCATGGCGGAGGCATCATTTTCGACTGCGCGCGGTCGAAGGTCGATCTACAGTAGTTTGATATATTTCTTCAGTTTTCTATACAATGGTCTGAGTAATCTTCCCCATGAGTTCATTCGCATTTTATTTAGACATACATGTACATGTAGGGCTGTTGGAAAGGTAGGGCTTTCCCACTCCACTTTATTCAGACATGCATTGGGTATGAATCTGAGCGTTTTCAGATTCAGTAACTAATGGTACAAGTCTTTTCTCTCTAATGAAGAATGTTATGGTTATTATTCATTTGGTGCTATACCATGTGAGTCAACAACAAAAAAGTTTACACCTAGCAAATTGCTAATTATTTCATAAATCTATGAACAGTAAATTATACATCTTATAAAAGAGTGTTTTATCCCGAATCATTTAGTATCATTTCTGTGTGGTATGGGTTCACGCTTGGATGAACTGGAGGTATTGTTTGCGAGAGTGCAAAAATCGACTTGCGCCAAAGTTGCATATGTGATGTCTGAATAAAACAATTGGGTTTTGGGTATTGATTCGGTCATTGCAAATCCAAATAACATCCCTAACAAAATTAATCATGCCACACATATCAAATATCAACAAACATTTGTGCCCGTGTGTGTTTGTGTTTGTGACTTTGCTTCTGCAAAAAGCATACATGCAATGCATCTCATTTGATACATTCAATTCACTCTCTCACTTTAATCCCAACATATCACATACTGCAGGCATCACTTCGGCACAAGTCGATTTTTGCACTCTCGCAAACAATGCCTCCTGTTCATCCAAGCGTGAACACATACATGTACCACACAAAAATGATACCAATTGATTTAGGATAAAACGCTCTTTCATAAGATGAATCATAATCTACTGTTTGTAGATGATTTTTGTCTCGCCTACGTAGCAAAAAGCGAGACATAGACGTCGCTTTTCCGGTGGCGGCGGCGTCATCAACATCAAAAACTTAACCTAAGGTTAAGTTTTTGAATTTTTAGTATAATTTTGAAAGTGTAAGTCTTCATTTAATGAAACTTGGACTAAAGGGTTATCAAGTATCCCCAATTATGTGAGTAGAATTTCAGGTCACTAAGTTAAGGTCAAAGGTCATTTCAGGTCAACAAACTTAGACTCTTTTGTGGCATCAACATCAAGATTTTGAATTTTTAGCATAATTTCAAAAGTGTTTTTTCAAATTCCATGAAACTTATACACAAGGGTTATCAAGTTTCACAAATCTTATGACACAAATTCCAGGTCACAAGGTCAAGGTCAAAGGTCATTTTAGGTCAGTATGTGGGAATTAATACATCAATTTTTGTTATTGTTTCATATGCCATTAAAGTTATTTATCTTGGTACAATTTATAGTAAATAATATTTTCGATGACTCTAGCTTGGTCAATATTCACTTCAAAATGCTGATTATATTCAGAGGATTTCATTGAGGGGGGGGGGGGGCTGCTAATGGGCCACCCTGCCTATGAAATGTCCAAACCGCAACTTTTGCCATTTTGAATTGCGTAATGCAGGCGAGACCGCCGAGAGCATTTCCCTTTTGCAATTTTCTAAGTGTAAACTTTTTTTTGACTCACATGGTATTGTAATGCACCTTTGTAAAATTGCTGATGGGAATATTTATTCAACATTCTTGTCTTCAATACAGATCAAGGTAGGGAACGAGAGGCTCTTCAAGACGAGGCTTTACCACATGTGCCAGAAAGGAGGAATGTGCGTGGTCGAGGACACATGACGACGCTGGCTTGCCGTTTCCGAGCTCCAGAGCCAGAACCTGATGGAGCAGCCACCCATGAGACACTCATGGCAGGTATGCATGTCCAAATCCGTGAATTTATAAGATAATATACATGTTAGTCAGTTTGGACAATTCTATACACACAAATTATTCATTATACATAAACAAGCACAGGCTGCTGAAAGTAAAAACAGAAAACTAAAAGATATGGCATCTGGCGATTTTTTAATGCTCCGCTACAAAGTAGCCGGAGGCATTATGTTTTCAGGTTGTCCGTCAATGCGTCATCTGTCCGTACGTCCCATTCTCAAGAACCAATTGATGGATTCCCGCCAAACTTGGATCATGTATGTATCTTGCAGAGCCAATGAATTGATTAGATTTAGGGGGTAAGAAGTCCAAGGTCGAAGGTAATGGGGCTCATTATGCAAAAATAGCTTGCGATCACGTTATCTCAAGAACGGATTGATAGATTTTCTCCAAACATGGGTCATGTAAGTATCTTGCAGAGCTTATGAACTGATTAGATTTTGGGGTCACAAGGTCAAAGGTCACAGGGCTCATGAATGCAAAAATAGCTTGTGATCACGTTATCTCAAGAACCAATTAATGGACAGATTACCATCAAACTCAGGACATGTATACATGTATCTTGCTACGCCAATTAACTGAGTAGATTTGGGGGTCATAAGGTCATTAGGTCATGGGGCTCATTATGTATGCAAAAATAGCTTATGAACGCATTCTTATTAGATCTGACAGATGAATGGATTACTATCAAACTCAGGACATGTATGTATCTTGCAGAGCCAATGAACTGATTAAATTTTAGGGTCATAAGGTCAAAGATCAAAGGGTCATACATAAATATGAAAAATCACAATATTCTGAGAACCTGTAAATGGAATACAATAGAACTGGAATTCGAAAAATTGTCTCTGTTTTGGTTTGTAAAATCGCTCTATGGCGGAGGCGTGCAGTCAAAGATCCATATAATTAATTATTCATAATTACATGTTTTTGAGTTATATTCCGATTTCTTTCACCGTTTCTGTTTTTTTCTTCTCTAGTGTTTGAGATGGAGAGGTTCCAATCTGAATAACAGAGCAAGGCATCCAACGATGCGCTGGTCAGACTCATCTTTGAGTACGCCAGTAGTTCATGGGACGGGACATCCTCTCATCGAATCGATACAACGGAAGACCGCCTGATTCTGAATGAATGATTAATAATAATAATAATAGTGGCTACTTGTATAGCACACAGGTCCACCTTTCGGTGCTCATGGCACTTATAGAGAAAAGTACATGTAACAGACATAAGAAAGAAAAAACAATAAACTGAAAAACAAATTCGAAATTCTCCTACGCATAGTAAATTAGAATATTGCAATAATTACAACGAAAGAAACAAATACGTTTCTAGTTGTAGTTTGAATGTTTCTGTCGACAACTAGTTGACGTAATTTTAGAGGGAGCTTATTCCAGAGTTTTGGACCCATGGCTAAGAAAGCCCGTTCCCCCCAAGCATGTTTTATTCTGGGTGTATTAAGTAATAGTGTGTCTGATGAGGAGCGAAGACTTCGTGTGGGGTTGTATTTTGAAACAGAGTTGCTCAGGTATGTAGGGGAAGAAAGAGAGTAAACTGAATGATGTACTAGTAACATAATTTTAAAAATAATCCTTTCGTCAACTGGCAACCAATGGAGAGAACGGAGAATTGGTGATATGGAATCAGATTTTTTAGCGAATGTTAATAGGCGGGCTGCAGAATTTTGAAGTCGTTGAAGTTTTGTGACATCTTTTTTTGGAAGGTTACAGAACAATGAATTTGCAAAATCTAAACGAGAAGAAATTAAAGCATGAATCAAGATCTCAGCTGCAGGTTTAGATAACACTTTCTTATGAAACTTAGATTACGTAATTGGTACCTTACACTCTGTTGAACATGTGTTATATGACTACGAAAGGACATTTCCTGATCAAATATTACACCCAAATTACGAGCTGTTTTTGATGGAGTGATACATGTTTTTCCAATATGGATGACACGATTGATTGTCAACCTTCCCTAACATGTGCTTGGCACCTAATAATAAAAACTCAGATTCATCATCATTCAGCTTAAGGCCATATTAGATATTAGCCAGGATTTGAGTTCTTCAAGACATGTTTCAAGTTTCGAAACAGCTGATGACAGTGAAGACATTGTAGGTTTAAAAGAAAGATAAATTTTGATGTTATCTGCGTAGCAATGGTAACTAATACAATGTTTGTGAAATATCTTATTGATTGGTTGCATATAAAGAGAAAAGAGCAGTGGTCCTCCTACCGAACCTTGGGGTACACCATACTTCATAGTAGTTTTAGCAGAGGTAGAATTACCAATTTTTACATACTGAGATCGTTCAGAGAGATATGATATAAACCAATTAAGGACGGTACCCTTGATACCTAATGATTTCAGCCTTCGAGTCAGGATAGAGTAATCTACTGTATCAAAAGCTGAGCTCATATCTAACATAATAAGAACAGTAATATTACCGCAATCCAGTTCTCTAAAAATAGTATCAGTTATGTTGACAAGTAGTGTTTCCACACTATGGCCAGGCCTGTAGGCAGATTGACATGGGTCAAACAATTCATTTTCTCGCAAATATGCAGTCAGTTGTGAGAAAACAACCCGTTCCAGCAGTTTACTCAAAAAAGATAAGTTTGAGATTGGGCGGTAATTTTTGAGACACTCCTGATCTAAGCTAGATTTTTTCAAGGTTGGATGGATGACAGCTGTCTTACAAACCTGTGGGACAATACTTGAACTAAGGCTAGCATTAATAATGCTTGTGATGACAGGTGCCAAGACTGTGCTACACTTCTTAACCAAATCTGTTGGGATTGGATCAAGCTCACATGATTTATTTGGTGAGTTCTTGATAAATGTTTCTATCTCACTGATAGTGACCGACCGAAACTCACTCAACTCTGATTCGCCTTCACAAACAGTGTCATCCAGCTGTACAACATGAGTTTGGAAGCACTATCGGATTGTTAGAATTTTGTCTACAAAAAATTGATTAAAACGATTGGCAAGCTTCAACCGATCACCATGAGTGAGATGTTCTGGTAAAGGAGATGGTTGTTTTCTGTGTAGTAAATTATTAGCAACTTTATACAATTTCTTTGTGTCTTTCCCACAATCCTCAACTTTTTTTGAGTGATAGTTTGACTGAGCAATCTTAATCAAGGCTTTTACATGTTGTTTTGGGGTACGTACGATACATCTGCCTGTGAATCTCCAGTTTGGTGGACCTTGATCTTCTTTCTAATTGTCTACGAAGCAGTTTTGCTTGAGCTATATCTTGGTTATACCATTCAGTATTTGGGTGAATTGTAACACGGAGTTGCTTCTCAGGTGCCAATGTATCAAGTGCAGATGTGAGTAAGGTATTTACAAATTAACTTCTTCATCTACACTATTTGCATGAGAACCGGTTGATATAAGAGACTTTACATGAGTGTCATCTAAAAACTGTTTTGGGTCTACAGATTTCAAGTTCTGTGTTGTAACAAGCTTTTTCTTAGTAGATTCAAATGTGAAACACCTCTCCTTCCATAGCACAACCACGACCATACAAATCAAAACGAAGTACAGTTAACCCTGAGTATACCGACGCACCAGAAACAGAAACAGATGCAAGGTTTACCATATGGGGGATGGGTGGAAAATGCAGAGCATGTTCGACATAATTAGGCTTGTTGGTCATACAACTGAAGGATAATCCTGGTGATCACTTGAGTGGGTATCCCGCATGGTGTTGAATTTCTCATTAATAGAGCCCGCTACTTTGAATATTCTAAGATTTAGGGTTAGGGCTAATGTGGGGTTTTAGGTTACGTTTAAGTATAGCAGGGTTCCCACAGTGGTGGACATAATTTGGAAAGTCATGGAAAACGGCGAGAAAATCTCCCAAGGTAATATTGAAAGTCATGGAAATTGATCATAGTAATGGGATGTGTGTGGCAGCCATGGCAGCCTTCCAGGTTAAACTAACAAGGTTGTGGTATTTGTATGCAGCTTGGATGCCGCAACCCATACCGAAATGGTACTTACCTGGTCATAGGAAAAAGGCTGTTGGTATTGGAATTGGTTCTCAAATTTCTTGTTAGAACACGATATGTTACTGTAGGGCCATTATCTGAACTATTTTTAGGCCAGATACACAGCATTATTTGAATAATTCTCTATTGTTTAAATGCATTCGACCATCAAATCTTTTACGATGTAAAAACAAATTGTGGTCCTTTCAATCATGGCTTTGAATTAAGTGATCATTCAATTTATTCTATTACCTCCCGAAGGTTGCCAATGATGTGCAATTCCAATGTAGTATTTTCAGCAGTATAAGTGTATACCCCAGTTATTAGAGAACCATCATGAGATATGTTTCAATAGCAAATGTATTTGGTGTTTTTAAATATTCGTCATGGTCTAAAAAGTGTTTTCATGAAGTGCCTTAATATATAATGTGTCTTTCTTCGAGTAATAATCAATTAAAGAGAAGGTTGAGTTCTGGGAAGAGGTGAAAAATAATTTGTGAGCGTTATCATTCTTATTACCGGTATACAAGTGTGGAAGAACATCAGATAAGACATGTCCCCTGAAAAGCATAGCTCTTCAAATGCCTTCATATTCTAAATATGTCATGTAACATCGTAAAAAATCCGGCATAGGATTTTTACGCCACATGTTTGTGTAGTCCCATATACATCTTTCTGTGTACAGTGTTTGTAGCTTTACCAAGCCTTGGCCAAATTTCTTATAATTTTGATGATTCCAGAACCTTGCAATACACACAAATTCTTATATGCTACATGATCAACCTTGTGTTGTATGTGTCCCAATCTTGCATTGTTTGTGCATATACCTTTGCTACTTTGGCAATTATTTATGTTTGAAGATATTACGAAGATTATATATGCTGTGCTGAAATAGAGGGAGACTTGGAGAACCATCATGAGATGTTTCAATATCAAATGTATTTGGTGTGTTTTTTTTAATACTTTTCATGCTCTAAAAATTGCTTTCATATATAATATGAAATGTGTCTTTATTCAAGTCATGATCAATTAAAGCTGGTTTGGTAAAGATTTATATACTTTGTTTTATTCTGCAAGAAGTGAAATAAGAGCAATTAAGGGGTCCGTCGACTGTTGAAGATAAAGAGAAGTATAGAGGAGATTACAAAGAGAGATAGAATAGAAAGTGAGAAGAGAGAGGTATGATAAAAGAGACAGAAAAGAAAAGAGATAGTGGTAGGAGGAGGCAAATAAGGAGGAGCAAGAGGATGAAACGAATGAGGAGACACTTAAATTGCGGACATGTGCCGCCGCCGCACAGTGGGCCAGGAAGGAACTAAAGTGCGCCAAAACTCGTGTTTGGGGATTTAATTTTTATAAATCCAGAGGAAATGTTTGGATTTCCAGGGATTTTCGCTCAAATTTTATTACCAACATTTTCTCTGATGTCTAAGCTTTAAGTTGATACCAGATTTGGCTCCCCGATCATGCCCGTTATTATGTTAGAGCCGTTTTCTTTGCAACATTGCCCCGAAAATGTGTTTATTTTGAAAAAATAAAACTTCATGTTCAATTGAAAGATTTTTAAAATAAGTCACTTTTGCACTAAAACTGTGAATATGTAGGATTTTGCTGTTTGAAGTAGTAAATTTATACCCTTATTGTGCATACCGGAATTAAATATTTCACTGATATATTCCTCTATGTATTACCTTTCAACTGGGCAAGAAAAAAAATGAAAAAAATAAATCACCAAAACTTAGTTTTGGCGCACTTTGGTTCCTCCCTGGCCCACTGTGCGCCGCCCTCCAAAACAAAAACGTTGTTGTCTTTTATGTAATTAGGCGGAGTCGGAAAAGAGTGGTATGGTCGCCACTACTTCACAAACTAAGCACGCCTTGTTTATTTGAAAGATTTTATCATAATGCACAATATTTCACAACCCTAAATCGGAGGGGGCGTCCAAAAAATATGGCCCTTTTGATGAAAAATAATATATTGTAAATTTCATGGAAGCCTCGAACCACCAAGAGCTTTTTGTCTCATGAGAAAAAATTAAATTATCTACATTTCGATACCAATTTTATTGGGATTGGGATTATTTAACATCACAGTTTCGAATAAGAAAACTAGATTTGTTGTGAATTTTGTATTAAAAAAACATTATTTACCATCATTTTTAAAAAAATCGAAGAGGTGTATTTTGGACAATTTCTTGTGCCAAGGAGAGGC